CCCATTAAAAGGGGTTTGACTTTTAAAACACTGATGCAAAATTGACTGGTAGCTGTTATATTGTATGAACTGTGTGTTATTGTTATATTGAATGTACAGAATATATATACCTGATTAGGATGTTATAAGGAGCTGCGGTGGCTCAAGTGGTTAAGACGCTGAACTGCAGGCTGTGGAAGGTCGGTAGTTCAGCAGTTCGAGACCCGGGTTGCCGCATGACGGAGTGAGCTCCCGTCTCTAGTTCCAGCTCCTGCCAACCTAGCAGTTCGAAAGCAAGAAATTGCAAGTAGATAAATAGGTACCACTTCGGTGGGAAGTTAACAGCGTTCCGGGCACCTTGGTGTTTAGTCATGCCGGCCACATGACCACGGAAACGTCTTCGGACAGCGCTGGCTCTTCAGCTTGGAAACGAAGATGAGCACCGCAACCCTACAGTCGGACTCGACTGGCTTTTGAGCAAGGGAACCTTTACCTTTACCTTATGATGTTATAAGAAGACACCATGCAATTTATGGAATGTTAATGATAAACAGAACACCTTAATTTACAAAAGTGTCTTGCAGTGTATCTTTATTCGTTACCTGAGCTTCCCCGTATGGGGCCTGGAGATCTCCTGGAACTGACCTCCAGACTACACAGATTAGTTCCCCTCGAGAAAATGGCTGCTCAGGGAAGGCGAACTGTATGCATGAGGTCCCCCCCCCCAAAAAAAACCCTGGCCACCATGAACTCTGCCCCTAAATCTCCGGGAATTTCCTACTTTAGCATGACATGACCTAGCAAATCTTTTCCTATAATCTTAAGAAAAGCCCACCCATCCTCACCCACACCATGGAACAGTCCAAACATTGGCTTCAACCCCACAATTAAATCCCATCGTCTAGGAAAAGACAAATATCCTGTTTAAGGCTCTGGGAGAAATCCTTAAAAAAACAACAACCCGGTATAGCCGTCATAACAGTCACAAGAACAGTGTGCAACACAATGACATTGTACAGCTGCTTTTTCTTGGCAATCCAAGAGAACCTGAACTCAGAACAGGGCAAAGAAAAAACGGGTACTCGGCGGGGGGGGGAGACCAATAAAGCCACTGAGGCAGGTCAGAGATCCAAGAGAAAGGCAGAGGTCAGATTTATGCTCTAACCTTAAGGGTTCTTGGTTCTTATAACACGGCACTGTGGAAAAGAAGTGGTTTCAAGAAGTAAGAAGCATTTGGAATGAAGGGGAGAGCAGCTCTTACTCGTAAGGAAGTTGCAGGATTAACTTCACAAATGATGACTGGGAAGAGTTCGAACTTAGGGGTATCCATGTCCTCTTCCCTGTACCTTTTAAAAGGACTCACACCAGTAAACAACCAAGCCCAAATAACTTGATTCCTCATCTCTTGCTTGTAATTGCAATTATACTGCAGTTTCACTGCAATTCACTACATTAAGTGATTAGGGGGGGTCATATGTCTAAGTAATTGGCCAAGAGGCATGGCAGGGAGTTACTACAGCTTTCTGTGCAGTTACAACATGGCATTTGGTGGGGAGGCAGGAGGTTACTAGAATTCTCTGTGCAATTAATGCTGCATACTATGGATGGAGGCAGGAGGTGTGGAAATACTACAGCTTTTAAGCGTACTTGCTCTTTCATGACTTCCCACTAGTCCTGTGCTGTAGTAGCCCCTTCCAATCTTTTGGGTTGATACGATCCGCCAAGAGGCTGATGCATCTGCCTGTGATACTCACACGGGACCTGCAATTATAGCGCTTCTGTTTAAGGTGCTGCTGGAACAGCTTTGAAGGAGGTTAACAAAGGCAAGCAGTCAGGCCTTCTCATCCGGAAACTGAGTAAAACTTTAAGGCCATCACCAGACTGGTGGTAAACTAGTCGGGACACTTCCGCTGACATCTGTTGAAACCAGAGGTCATTTCGGGGGGGGGATTGTGGGGAATCGCAGCCCCCCCCGGGTGAGGTACGGGGGGCGGGGCACATGACGAAGCCCCGCCCCCTGCTTCCGGCTGCCCCGCTTCCGGCCCTCATTCAGCCAGGAGGAGAAGAGGGAGGGTAAGTTGCTTCCTCCCTGCCTCTCCCCACCCCTGCCTGCCTGGGGCCAGGGAGGGCCTTCGCGGGGCTTCCTTGCACTCCCGCCGCCCTTGCAGGTCCACCGCCGGGCCCCTCATGGGGCTCAGCAGTGGAGCTGCAAGGCCGGCAGCGGCAGCCGGGACTGTTGGGGGCGGGGTGTGTGGCCTTATGACACACTTCCGGTGATGTCAGGGGGTGTGGCATATGCTAATGAGTTATGCTAATGAGTTCCCCTAGCTATTTTTCTACAAAATGACCCCTGGTTGAAACTAATCCTTTAAAAAAATATCAAGACAAGAGGCCATTTCAAATGCACTTATCAGAGCTGAATTGAATATCTGCAAATATTCTCAATG